TGGGCGTGGGGAGGGCGGGAGGTGCGCCGGGCTGAGGGCATGGAGGGCACTGAGGGGATCGGGGAATATTCTGAACTGGAAGGGACCCGCAGTGATCATGAAGCCCAGCTCCTGAAGTGAATGGGCCACAGAAGGGATCAAACCACTATCTCGGTGGTGTCAGTACCATGCTCCAACCAAGCCAGCTGATCCCAGGATCGCCTGAGGGCATGGCGCGGGATGAGGTGATGCTGCCCAGCCCCATTTATCTTTATAATTCCCTCGGGCACACTGTATTACGCAGTCACTATCCAAAATCAGGAGCTAGCTGGGTAAGGTAAGCAGGGCATGGGACTTCAGAGCTGAAACTTTCTTGACAAAATGACCAGCATGAATTAAACTTGAGTGCAGGCAAATCCTTTACATTTTGGAATAGGAATATAATCCCGTTAGCCTTTCCTCTATAAATGTAATTGCCGCTTCAGAGTCTTGAATGGTTATTGAGCCTAATTATCTTGTCAGATGGGAATGTGTTCAAAAGATAGCAGGTTCCAGAGCCTCATGACTGCCACCAGCACGGGTGAACTCTGAATCACCTGGTGTTAGTGGCTCTCAGGCTGAAAAACATTTCAGTGGAACTGCTGAAGGAAAACTTGGAAGGTGCTGCACTAGAACTCTGTGGATCCATAAGGATTCCTTCGGAGGGCCAGTCTCATCCTGGAAATCACATTTCTGTATGCTGCCCTTTCCTGTTGACCTTTTTTTTTGGCTCTGTAGAAAGTAGTGTAATAAAACAATTCTTTTGGAAGGGCAGGGTGAAGAATAAGAAGAGATTTCACTGGTCATGTTCATTCTGTTTCCATTTCTTCACACCCATGTGCTGAAAACATACATTTGCTTGCAGGATCCCTTGAGAGTGATCTGTTCAGGCCAATATTAATCAATTTGTTACAGACCTTTACAGTACCAGTCACCCACTGGTGTTGGTGAAGGGAACTTGACAAGAATATTCTCTGTGAGCTTTAAGACTTGCCCAGTGTTTCTAAAAGTATTTTCAGTGCAGCTAAATATCTGGTCCAGTGTTTATATATGGAATAATACAGTATTTGTGTTTAAAACTACCTGCCTTTTTTCCCAGGTGGAAAGCTTTTTTTTCTGGTTGGTTATTAGCAAATGTCATATATATTCTGCAGTAAGCTTGTTGCTGTCCAAAGAGATGAGAAAATCCAAAGGATTTTTATCCCCTGAAGGCTCCTGTTCCTTGCAGAAAACAAAGTTGTGTTTTCCAAGACTTTAGCTGCACAAGAGCTCCTACCCTCTTAGTCTAATCTGTTTTATCTGCTGTGAGACACTCTGTGTATTTATATACTGAGCAACTGCAGGACATCAGTTTCCATTCTTATCAAACACAAATATTTACCTGATCCAAGGTCTCTTGAGATCCTTAACACTCTTAAACATGCAGTTTAACTAGAGAAATCTATTTTTTCCCTCAGTTTAATTTTAGTTGGGTTTCAGGGTATTTTCTTAGCAACTAAGTATTTTTTTAAATGAAGGAACACTCCAACACTTTACTGCTTTGCTTTACTCACCAGCTCAGCTCTGCAGACTCCCTAATACTGTCAATAAGGAAACTAGGAATTGTTTTGACATAGTCAATGAGGAATTGAAACCAAGAAGTCAATGAGCAATTAGTATTATTTACATTTAATGGAGACATTCCATTTAAAAATATCACACATGGTGTGACGCAGCAGTCACTGGATTTCTGTTTACCTCTGTGAGCATCTTCAAGGGCAATGTAAAGGGGGAAAGAAAGAAGAGAGGTCCTGAAGGTTGCCAGATAAAGGAATTCAGGTGAGAGGAACCATTTCAGTGCTAAATAATGTGGGGAATTTGGGGGGTCATGAGGTTTTTGAGCCTTGCCCTTTGCAAGCCACAAACCAAGATCAGGAGTGTTGATTTTGCCTCTTCCTCTCCAGTTTTGTATGTAACTTCAAATGCCATCAAATGACACCCCCTTTCCCCATCCCTGCCAGGGACTAAGGTGATAATTTAGGTTAAAAAAACCTCTTTTCCAAACACCCATTCCCTGATTTAGCAGCCTTATTTCCCACTCTGTCCCAAGGAAAGGTGTCCTTGTTTTCAGAGTGGGAGCAGCAACCCCGGGGTTTTGCAGGACATCACCTCCCAGGTGTCCCAGATAACATCCTGCAGGGCTGATCAGGAAGAGACACAGACATGAATAAAATAGCAAAAGCAAACCAACACAATTACAAAAAAAAAAAAAAAGTGTGAAAACATAAATATCAACATATAAATAGTTCATTTTGTTTGCAGTAATGAGATTTAACAACAGTGTGCGCTGGCATTGAGCCAGCTCAGCCAACTGTTGAATTTATTCTCTGAGAGATTGTTTTTAGGTCCAAAACTCCCTGGTGTGCCCAGCGGGCACCTTGGCCCAATCCCTGATCTGTGGGACAGGCAGGTTAATTGTCTCAGGCCACAGTAACAATGTGGATCTCCTTGTCACAGGAGGCAGGGGAGTCCTTCTTGCACCTGCAGTGGAATTTAGGAGTGCAGCAAAGCACCATAGACATGAGCAAGCCCAAAGTAAGCAGGAGACAAATTACCCACTTCACCCTCCCTGAGTACATGAAGGGGAGGATGAGCAGGGCGAGGATCACCCCGAGCAGCAGGAGCAGCAGGAGTCTCTGCACAGCCAGGCTGCTGTGTGCTGGGCTGCTTTCCTCTGCGTTCAACATGTCCTGGCTGCTCTGAGCCCAGCTGTTGTTGCCATCCAGCCCCATGGCACAGATGTACACCTCAGGGTTTGAGTCAAGGCTCTCCAAGCGCTCCAGGATGTCTTCTTGGTTCTGGAGCGTGCGGATCAGCCCTCCTGACACGCAGGTGGATTTTCTGCAGAGAGGGCAGGTGATTGTCCAGGTGCTCTTCTCTTTCCTGAGGATCAGCTTGAGGCAGATGGCGCAGAAGTTGTGCTGGCAGTCCAGGAGCTTTGGGACTCTGTAGATGCTGTACTTGTTGAAGCAGATCATGCAGTCCATGTCTGGGGTGGCTGTGTCTGAGCACTGCAGGTTCAGGTCCAACGTGCTCATTTCAGGAGAGTTTGTGTCTGTTAGCACAGCAAGCGGCTGTGAGTTTGGACAGTCTTGTTCCAAACCTGCTGCTTTAAAGGCAGCAGGACTGTCTCTCTCTGTTCCTGAAGGTCTCTCCATTTCTTCAGTACACTCTTCAGTGAACCCCACTCTCCTCTCATGTTCTGAGTTTTGTGTTACGGATCCTGCTCTGCTCATTTCTGCAGCACCTCCTGCCACGGGCGCTGGACTGTCTGCCTCAGCCTGCAGTGCTCCAGGAGCTGACAATCTGTTTTCCTTGTTTGGCTTGTCAGTGGATTTCTCCATGGAGATAAACCTCGGCGCAGCTTGTCTCCCCTTAGCTGAAGGATTTCCCGAGTCTCTGGCTCCTTTTATGTGTTGCTGTATTCCTGCTGTATGCCTGATTGATTAGTGAGAGCCTTAAGCCAGTCATGCTCTTAAACAATATGATGTTTTTATGACATGGGGACCAGAGTTAATGATTGACTTCCCAGTCAAGGCAGTTTACAATGACTGATAATATCAGTGGGCAATTCCTGTCCGGAAGCAGACTCCATGGCATTAGCAGACCACTCTGACAGCCAGACACCACCATTATTATTAAATTAGAACTCTCTTAGATGAAAGCAATTTCATTGTTCTCCAAACAGTGACAGGCCTGGGGGAATTACCTGTTTCTGCCATTAGTGTGCTGAATGCAGTGCTTTGATTAAAGCATATGTATCAACAGCTTTGGGCTCTCTGGGTAGGAAGTTTGCTCTTGGTTTAAAAACACTTACTACCTGACAGCACCAAGTGAAGAATGAGATTGAAATGACTAAATTGACTGTTGAATGTCCAATTGTTATTAGCTCTTTTATCCTAGGGTAACTCTTTTTCCAGCCTAGGATAACTCTTTTGTCCTGTTTGTTTTAGTAATCAGAAGGTTTCCAGTACAAACTGAAGCATGACTGAGGTCCACACAGGATCTCTCAGAGTCCATGAAAGAAATCAGAAAACTAAAAGCAAGAGCAGTGTCCTAGAGGGTGGAACCTTCTTCTTTCCTGAGGTGTTCACCAAACAACCTCATGCACTTGGGAATGCCCTTCTTGAGTGATTTTGTGAAGATTCATCTCATCTGAAAAAAATGCCTGAACAAAATCCCTCAGTCTCTAATTTCTTTCTGCCTTTTAATTTCAGCAGTAAAATACAGATGGTTTCTCAGCAAGAATCCCATGGAAGGAAGGAATGAAAGAAGGAAGGGAAGGACCCCTAATCCCCAAAAGCCAGATGAGGTCAGTGTTAGCAGCAGAAGACACACAGTACCACTCTGGTAGCCTCAAGTGCACCTGAATGCTCACACTGCCCGTGCCCCCAGTCCCAACCCCTCCCTCCCAGAGAGGAGCAGCAGAAAGAAATGAAACACTACAGATGAGGAGGGCAAGGAGTTCAGGAAGGCTCTAATCTCATGAACTCGCTGGAGGGGATGAGGTGAGAAGAACTTGTTCTTATTTGCTGAGAAATAGAAGGTTTGTCGTAAGCAAACTTCGTCAAACTGCGTGAACTGTCCTCTGTTTCTGCTGATGTGGCATATGGTGGTGCTTGATGGACTTTTGGATTGCCCCAAATTTTAGGAGCCTGAGTATCTCTCAGTTGCAGAAGCTGGTATCAAAGTGCAGGAATGTCTGGAAGTAGGCTGGTGAACTGCAAGACTCGTTTATCTTTAAAAAGTAAATCTTCTTTTGCATTTCATAAAACTCTTTGTCAGCAAGTTCATGCTGTTAACAAGATCCGGGAAAGCAGAAAACAGACTTGCCATTATTACAATAGTTTAGAAACTTCAGATTTTCCCATGCCAAAAATGGAAATGTCTTAAAATCTCCTGATTTGTAATTGCTAGAACAATATAAAAACACCTTGCAGATGTTGGAAGTTGGAACATACACCAAGAGGGACAACTACACTCCCAACATAGAAAGTTTCGAACTGGTTGGGATGAATCTGTGCTCCATGTCTGTCTGCTCTGTGTTCTACCAGTGGGTGAGGGTGACTTGGCTGTCTTTTGTGTTGGAAGAACAGTTTTTTGTTGTCCTCCACTGACAACGTTTTCAGCCAAGCCCTGATTCCGGCTCCGCTTTGTCTCTGGTGTCACGAGTGATGCTCCCTGGCTGGCATGTGCCTTGTGCTTATCTGAATTGCTCACAGCCCATTAATGCTCCTCTGGCTAATTACTG